TATATAACTGCTTTACTCTAGTCCTAATTTGATTTATATGTGTATTTTGGTGGTGAACACGTATGGGAAAATATACTCTTAAAACTAAATATGTAAGTAGTAAGATATGATTATTTAGCGGATTTTGTATCAATATATGCGTATCCAAAAACCCAAATGGGCTGTAACTGTTATTTATTTTTCTTAGACTGCTGATAACCATTTTGTTTACAACGCGGTGTGGTGTGGATTGAATGAAAAACCTGAACACATTTTCAGCAATTTGGCAAATTTTTAATGCATCGCTTGATACGTGCAACAATCCTCCACGATTTTTTCTAGTTAAAAGCTTTAAATGACTCTCTGATTCGAATATCGCCTCTGCACATATGGAACATTTAACAGACTTAGCTATTTTTCTTGTAACAAAACCTGAAATATACTTAGTACCTACCAGTAAGTACTTAGTTACGTCTATACCTAATAGGCAAATAGGTATTGCCGTTGTCTTGCTGGTAAAGGATGTCGAATAATAGTTCTACGTTATTTTAAGTGAATGGGAAAGTCGAAAACGCTCGGTATTGCATTATTTTTTAACACCTTCGTAGGTATCTTTCTAAAATCGGCTTCATTCCCCTCAAATGCACTATGGTGGGAGTAAATTTTTCTCTTCGAATGGCTCTGATCCATTGGTCCTTTAAACTTTTATCCGTTGAAAATCAGCATATTATTTAAAAATTTATTGACAGAGTACATGTTGATAGGCACAAGTTAACCTAAGTTTATTGGTTTATTCTCAACAGAAATTTATCTGTTCACTAATTCGAGCTAATCACGAGAATGATTAAGAACGGACCATCTAAAATAACAGCTTATTTCATTGTATTGCATATCATCTCAGCGATTTTTGCCCCGCGGTGCATTGTGTGTTGCATACTGTGTCGACAACACCTTAGATACGTTAAGCGCAGTCTAGTTATAGCAAGTCTCTGGGTGGTATGTGACACTAGCTACCCCGCCAGCTTCGTACCCGCTTTTGGGCAATGTCCTAGCTCGAAATCCACTGAACGAGAATGATCAAAATTTTAAGCGATGGAGTTCCACTTTGGTCTATTGGTCTATCCGAGTATGCTAAAATCCTGGCTAAAATCGACCGTCTGCCGCCTCAGGTCATGTTACTTAAGGCTCTGCGGTACTTCTCGCGGTACCAATCCGAAATTGTTTTTTCTTAGAGAAAATAAGTTATACACCAAATGAAATGTTGATATTGGCTCTTAAAGTAGTTAGAGCGCGTTCGGCTGAAGTCAAGCGATGTACTCGGCTTACCTATTACCTACGGTAAACGCCCCAAAAAAAATTTTGTTTGGAATGAAACATAATTAGAAATACGGTATGAGTGGTATTTTGTACCTTTTGCACAATGCAAACATCATACATAATTTTTAAAAAGGGATATACAGTAGTCAACTTGACCAGTCTCCCTACTTTTCGACCCTGTTTCTAACCTTTGCACGGTAAACTGTTGATGACACACCGCGACTAAATATTCACAGTGTAAGCGGTAAATCCTAAACGAATATATTTATTTTTAATCAAAACGTATGCGAGACGTATTTAAAAGCCGGGAAACTAAATAATTTGGCGTTTTACGTGAAGTCGGTGTAGTGGATTTGGTTTTTCGATGTTGGCGCCAGAGATCCCCAGCCGCTACCTTGATCTCGATCCGATCAGTGTGTCAACAAGACGTGTGCAGGCCTTTATAAATATCGCTGGTTTTGGTGTTCTCTCTGAAAGACACCATGCCTTTTGTGAAGAAAAGTGCGCAGCAGTAGAAGGAAAGAATTGTCCTAGCTCAGTTATATACTAGACTAGTGGAAAAGTCATCAGATTTAAAAGCGTGCTGCAAAGCGCGCCGCCGCGCCAGAGCAGACGCCGCTCTAGCGGTAAATATCTTCCTTATTTCATCATGAACATGTACCTACTTTTCCGTGCATATTTAGATTCGTCACAAAATTTCGCTTCTCATGACTCATGAGACCCATTTCATTTAAGTCTTGATACAAAAACCTTCGCTAGCTCAGAAAAACTGAGTCTGTCCATAAGCGCCCATGTTAAAATACCCTGTTTTTACTGTCAAATATCTCAGAAACGGCACATAGGAACATTAGAAAGAAAAAAAAGAAAATTAAAAAATGACATCTTTGCGCCGGTATGGCGGCTATGCGGGCCCGTCGCTGCGGTATGTTTTTCGTTAATGACTGATTGAGGACTTGATGCTCATAAAAAAATGAGCTTGTAACAAATCACCACAAAAAAAACAAACAATCGACACGTTCAAATGAGTATGGCGAGCTATAAGGCCCACCGGAAAAGTATGGCATTTCGTTTCCGTCATTTGCTTTGTCACCGACTACCAGAAAATCCAAAGAATTTTGTGTAGCAAATTGTCCAAAATCATTAAATTGTCCGACATGTTTAAAAAATCGTCACGTAATAACGGCCCCACTCCCAGAGAGTTAGCACCATTTTCGTTTTGAGGAGTACTTAGTTAAACCTTTGAATTGTCGCCATACTTGTAGCAAATCACACCACAAAAAGTATCACCATCTCCCGGTTTAATAGTTCAAGATGACATTTTTGAATAGTTACCAAGAATAAGACGAATTCTATCAAATATTTAAAAGATTATGCATGTTAGATACTTACTGTTTTACCCTGCAAAATCAAAAAAAGAGGAAGCAGTTTCATATAAAAACATGTGTTGATTGAAGTGTGCGCTTGATATCGAAAAGTGTAGTTTCTAAAATAAGAGTAACCCATTTGTTTTTATATTTAGTTACCTACTGCTAGAACAGGGAATAGTTTTGTATCCTGTGATTCGTTTTCGACATTGCCTATAATATAACCTTACTAATATGATATTTTTACTAGTCTTCCATGTAGATTTTGAAATTTTGAAGGTATGTATCCATGAATTATCTACAGATAAAATGTCTTATTTCTACTGTACGACAAGGTTGGCAAGACTTGAAAGCTGCAGCGATTTATTTTTGTGCCAGAGTATTTTGTTCGGTCGCTGCTAGTAGATACAACACTTGTGCAATTGTTTAACTTTTAAATATGTCGCAAAGAGAAAAATTAGAAATTCGTATTACGTTTTATTGGAACGGTCACATTGTTGTTGTCTACATATGACGATGTGCTATTGAGAAGGTAATTTGAGTGTTTTAATGCATACAAGTATGCGTCGCTTGCTACTATTAATATCCTAACTTGATTACTATAAAGGACAACAAATGCGTGTGTTTACTACTTGTGGTTGCAAAATAGCGTTTATTCGTTCTTTGCTTACAGTGTAGTAGCTACTTAGCACCACTCCATAAACAGAACATCCTAAGTTTAGATCTTTTCCAAGGATTGAAGAAATTATCATTTCTTATTTTTTCCTTATTTTTCATATAAAATTCAAATAACTAAAATGTGTTTAAAATCAATGATCAATGTACATTCTCTATATTACATTATTGCTTCTTGCCGCTGCTAGTATTTCAAGAATCATGGTCTAGGAGCTGGTGAACATGTTCAGCTTCAGTTTTCTATCGTATCAAATTAAAACTACTTATAACATGCTTGGAACCTCAGACTTGAGGCGTAAAATAAAAAAAACTTTTTGATTTAACAAAATGGTGCAAATTTCTCATTCCTTTATTTATACGCTTATCGTGTATCTATCTCTTCCTCAATAAACTTAATGTTGATTTTGCAACTTTTTCGGGTCTACGTCTACGAATCAAATCAAATCAAAATGGCGTAAAATATACAGGGTGTTGTATTTAAAAATACCAACTTTGGGTTATATCTCAGAAACGGTGGTCCAAAATTGTTTTTCAATACGCCACTGGATTCTACGTAAAAAACCTAAAATAGGCAGTTTCTACCTTCTTCTATCTTACATGAGTAGTAAGATATGCTAACATCCCAAAATACAAACTTTTCTTTGTCAGATTCTATCTCAGAAACAACTGTAGCTAGATTCTGTTTGTGGTATTAAAAGTTTTACAAAAAATTTGTATACAATATACTACTTGTATAACAATTTTCAGTCTTAGTAAATTCGTTTAATTACCTCGGCAGGTACGAGAGCTTCGGAAGCGTACCAGAGACACATGAACATCGATCAGGAAACAATTAATCGAAAACTCAGTAACCACCAAAGTGTAAGGTACCGGTTAAACTGCAATGCAATATCGTGCAATGTAAGAAAGAGACAGAAAGTCTTGACTCAGTCTCTCACACTTCCACTACTGGAGTGTCTTACGGTGTTTTCTTACGAGAATCAAGGTTGCGCACATTTATTTCATAACGCAGAGCAAATCGAAATATACAGGAATAATTTATAGATTATTAGAAAATTGTATATTATTTTGTATGTACTCGCTGCCAATCAATGTTTGGGACATACTTTCCTGATTAATTCCTGTGTTTATACTGACTGCCACAATAAAGTAGACATTACGTAATTTATCCCCGAGAGGCATTTATTTTTATTCATCTCCATAATGTCATCAAAGTGCGAACAAATAAATGAAGGTAATTTTGTTGTTTGTCTGCAATAAGTTTTAATTGAACAAACGTCGTATGCCAATTAGACACAGACAGATGCAAGTAGGTATAAACGACCATTTAAATTCACAGCTTCGACAGTATTGCACCAGTTTTTTCCACTTTCTAATGCGATTATAATTAGCAAACAACGTGCGTGTTTAGGACCGCAGAGATTCCTTATTTTCTATTAAATTCGCTTGTAAATCGTGAATTCCTTGTCGAATGTTACCAAAATTACTCTGAGTGTTCAGAAGAGATGCATCCAAAATTAGACCTCCTCCAAAGAACAAGAACTTTATGCATCTGAATTTCAGTCAGCTAACATGCTTTCATAGAAACCGTACCGAATTTGTGCTTTAATTTCAATCTTTCAAACTAAGCCAAATGATTTACTTTGTCTTTTATCTTACTTTTAGATTGATCTGTGGAACACTTTATCCCGCGTATGCTTCATATAAGGCTGTGAGAACGAAGAATGTTAAGGAATACGTAAGTGTTTTTATTTTTTAATCAAGTCTGGAAGCGGCACCGCTGTTTATACTTTTTGTTGTTTCCGCTTTGAAACGAATCTATTGATATAAACCAATCCCTTTAATTTATCTGCACAGTTCAATGGACTTGGGCTAAATTTTACATTAATCACCGAGACAAGAACGACTCACTAAGTTTATTCTTAGAGCGAGTTTTTTTCATTTTTACCCCGTTGACGTTTTTCTTTTTTAGGTAAAATGGATGATGTATTGGATCGTTTTCGCACTTTTTACGTGTGCAGAAACATTTACAGATGTATTCCTTAGTTGGTAAACGTGAGAAACTGGACGAGTTCACATTTTAACTCTGGAATATTTTAGGTTTCCATTTTATTACGAGATTAAAATTATTCTAGTGATATGGCTTCTTTCGCCCGCAACGAAAGGTTCCAGTATTTTATATCGCAAATTTGTTCATCCCATGCTTAGCAAAAGAGAACATGTAATCGACTGGTTTATTTCAAATTTCTGTTATAACGTTTGCGTTTCAGGAAATTGATGAGTACATCGCAAAAGCTAAGGAGCAAAGTTATAAACAAATGTTAGATTTAGGCTCGAAGGGCGTTAATGTGCTTATGCAGACTGCAATTAAGGTAAGTTATACTTCAAGTAGTCCTTCATGTTTTAACAAGAATAACTACAGTAGTGATTACTTATGATTTTAACACGCTTTTTTATTTTTTCGCATTTGCACAGAGTCTTCCTGTAACTGCATCCTTAGTATCCTCTATATCTGACCCACATGAGCACGAATCAGTACAAAACACAGAATCTCATATAGGTAACGCTCATCAAGAAGTAGAGATTCTTGATGATACTGATATGGAATACTACGAACCATCACCGGTACGGCCCGCCAAAAAACCTAAAGCCGTTAGAAAAGGAAGGCCTGTTCGAAAAAGTGCCCGAAATCAACAAAAGACTGTTGTTAGTGATATCAGTGATTGATACGAATAAGTTATAGTAAATTTTAGTGTGTTGAAACTTTCGATATGGTAGTTATAGTACAAGATGTTTTCCTCTTTTTTAATTTTTTATTTATATAAAGACTGTGTAGATAATTGATTTCCTCTTTTTATTTTTGTTTTTGCCCTTGCCATCTTAACTTAAAATTAATGTCATACCTACATGTTGACATGTAACTGAAATAGAAATCGTGCGTTAATACGTTAATTGATTTTTGTGACGTAAGGCAGTATTGATTCTTGTTCGCTATACCATATAACAGAATTGCCCCTTTTTTATTATTTCATGTTCTGATTTGCATCTTGCGATTTGTTCCCTGCAACATTACATTTTTGTTCAGTGGAGTTCTTTTCGGTATAGTCTCCCCCCCCCCCTCCCCCCGCCTCAATTATAAAATCTTAGTAAAAGCATACAGGAGAACCATCCATTTTTAGTGATTTGTGACAACTGCTTTACAACTATGACTTTTGATGATTGCAGACAAAATCTCAAACCAAAATAGGATATACTAGATGATTTAGCACCACTAGAGACAAAAATTACAATATCCAAAAGAGCATACGTACAAACATTGTGCATTCACATATTGGTATACTATTTGTTTTTGATCACCTCCACCACTTTGTTTTGCATATACATGGTGCTCGTTACCACCATGTATACGAAGTGTAACATAGGTACGTATACAAGCCCACTATGTATGGAATATAGTATATATCTCGGTAAATAATGATTGTATACAACATTTTGGTATATAAAAGTAAAAGTAAAATTACATCATTTATTTATTTATTGTTACAAACTACACAGGGCACAGCCCTAATTACGTAGCAGGTATCTATTAATTAAGAGTTGCTGAATAATAAGTATATAATCTAATAATAACATTCAACTAAAAAATGATACAAACTTTCACCTACAAAAAATAAAAAAAATATGATACTGTTGGGCTGTGAGAAGCCCTACTAATTTTTTTTTCTTTTATCCTTATTGGAAATCATAATGTTTTATTAATTGTTTGGAAAAATGTTAAATATTACAGTAAAGTCTAAATCTAGTAAACTAAATAATTCGTTAACAAGTCTACACATTATCTGATAAAATACAAACATTTATTATTTTAAGGTAACATAGTATACATGTTTTATTAAACAAGTTTTTATCAAAACTAATTCTACGGTTGGTGCCTTTTTGGTTTCAACATTATTTTGAAAAATCAAATGGGGGCTAAGTAAACGCTGAGCCGTCCAAGAATTAAACTTTTGTACACTGAAACAACGGTATGGTGCACTTTAATAATTGCGCTTAATTGTGTTTAGGTTTTGTGCTTTTTTAGTTTAAGAGATGTTTGGAAAATTCAAATGAGGCTACGTGAACGCTAACCCTCCTGGAAATCTCCCAGTATCTCTCCTGTCCAGTCCGGACAGGAAAAATGTTGTATACAGGGGTTATTTACCGAGATATACACTATATTCCATACATAGTGGGCTTGTATACGTACCTATGTTACACTTCGTATACATGGTGGTGACTTGCGTAACGCATTATAGGGATTTCAATGTAAAATTCATAACATGCGATTATTAGCTCCCCAAATTATTTTAGATCAAAAATGTATTATTTTTTTGTAGAAAGTATTTTTTACGCCATTCAACCGTATTAGTTCAATTTTGTTCATATAAAGACGGAAAATTTGGAAAAATAAAACCCGTATCTTTTTCAATAATCTGCGATGCCATGGAATTTTCTAAAACAAAAAGATATCCAGGTATTAATTAGCAGCAGTTCCAAATGGATTTTATGATCGACTTGGTTACTCTGTTGCAGTTAATGGTGACTTATTCGAACATTTATTGTAAATTGTTATATTAGGAAACCGTTTTTAGTAGTTTGATCTTTTTTTATGTTGACTTCGCTGTTCTAAATATAATACTTTTTGATAGAATTTGAATTGTTTTATAGCAGATATTCCATGGCATGACGGATATTGGCGGAGATTTTGTATTGTAAAATTCCATGGCATCACAGATTGTTGAAAAAGAGGGGGGTTTTATTTTTCCAATTTTCCGTCTTTATTATGCAAAAAATAAAAACTAATACGGTTGATTGACATAAAAAAAATTTTTCTACAAAAAACCTTAATACATTTTTGCTCTAAAATAATTTGGGGAGCCAATAATCGCATGTTATATATTTTACATTGAAATCCCTATTAATGCGTTACGCAAATCACCACCCTGGATACATAATTATGTATATTATATTATATTATTATCCATTATCCGAATCAACTACCCTATGACGCTGGCCGGCGGGCGGTCGTTTAAGGCGCATACATCAAGGACCAACTACTTAGCACTTTTCGCTCCTCAAAAAACTCCTACCCCTTATTACCTCACTTCATAAAATGGAAAGACGCTGCACCAAACAAAAAAAACCTGTGTTAAAGGACGCGAAATCGGATAATCGAATCTTTCTCTTTACGTCTTAAAATTTATGTAATGAAATACTAATCAACCACACTCAAATGTCACGTGACCTTAGAAGTCAGTTTGGGACACTTTAAATACGTTACGGCTTATGGAAAATCCGTGCGCGGCTCCAGTATTTATTTTTTTACTCCGGATCCGTTTAATATATTAATAATTAATTTTAAGGTTTAAAGTCTTTGAAGATAAAACGAAAATTGTAAATCCTTGTTCTTTTATCTTTCGACCATCATATTTCTTTTTCTAGGAAAGATATTATAATTCTTTCGGTGCCTCGATACATCCATTCATAATCTGTGTTCCACCCATACACATTTTGTGTTGGGATAGGAATACCCAAATTGAGCAAGATGAAAATTCCTAATTTATTTTTTGTCCATGATTCTGAAATTGAATATGAAACAGTGCAATGCTTCTGAAAGTGGCAATAGGACAATTTCATTTAAAACATATCTAATTGTGTGTAGAATTGTATGTCTTAAGCATTGAAAAGATCGCTGTGGGTCTTTTTTGGAGAATTTGCCTAAGCCGCGAAAAGCGAAAAACGAAATTTCGAATTCAGCAAGTCATCAACACGTTACAAGATCCAGGGCAACATTATTAAATTGCAGCGCAATATCTGCGACGAGAGGGCTTTGTATACATATGTAATGGATTCTGAGGAGTCCTAGTGGTCTGGCCAGATAGTTACCAGTGAAAACAACACAAAGAGCAAGAGATAAAAGGCCCTTAATTTTGCAACACCTACTTTGGGACAGCTTTTTGATCTCATATTTAAGGATATAAGTAAGAACACACGGGATCACAGGCGATTCGCAGAAACCAAAGCGCTTCCCAGCATATATGATCAATACGTCTTCTTCAACAAAGTAATTAGTAAAACAATAAAAATGTATTAAACTTGATACGATTACAAGTAGATCAAGATGTACCAAATCGAACACCCTTTAAGCTTTCACTGTGTAGCTTGTATGTTGTATGCATGGCATATTATTTCTATTGTGAAGCAAGCTTGTGTTAGTGCTACTATTATTTACAACACTTTATAAGCTAATACGACACAGTTAATAAGAGGAGTAAACATTGGACATTGGGCTACCTACCAAAAAACGAGATATTGACAGATCCCAGACCAACTACTTCAAAACACTAACCACTCAATTTTTTTAACCGAGAATTTGAGTAAGTATATTTTTAATTTATATTTCTCTTAACACACTTACCTGATTAAAACAAACTTAACCTACCTATTTATTTCAGCATTGGTACCGGTAGCTTTAATCTCATATAGAATGAATACAATTAATTTTCATACATAAATATCAAAAGTAAATATTTTATTAATTTTAGTCAGTACATTATGTTGAGACTTTGCATATCTACTAACAAAAACATTAAGGTAGACTGATTTTGTCTTGCCACTATTAATTTTTGTTGTCCATTTTGGTAAAAAGATAATTTATGTAAGTCGAGTGAACGAATGTTTAATTAAAATCTAAATTCCATAATTTACATCTTTAAATGTAATTTATAGATTTACCATTGATGCAGAGTCAAAATTCACTATTTTCAACTTTAGTTGGTAGCCACAGAGACTTAAATTTAAATGTAAAGTAAACAGAAGTAGATAGGAATTTACCAAAATATATCTGGTGATATGTCCGACTAGTGAAAGTAATGGAATTGTAAACAGGTGGATTTAAGCGTTTCAATTTGTACATATGTACAAAGTTTTAAATTAATTAAATTAATTAAATAAATACTTGTCTCACGATATAGTGCGTTCCATAAGCTGAACAGCATTTGCTAACTTTTATTATAGAAGCTACAAAGTCAGTAAAATTAGGAAATATTAGGTTGGAGCGTTATCTTAGGAATGCAATGGGAAAATCAAAATAAAATTATTGAATTAAATACTTAAGTATAATTTGGATTTTGTTAAAAATGAAATTCTGAATATTATTATTACTACTACAAGTAAGTATAATAAATGAGCTACGAAGGACTTAAATATTCAATGTAAATTAACACATTTGGAGAAAAAAATTCGAAATGCTGTCAAATAAATACTAAGTAATTGAAACACTACATTATCATATAGGTACCTACTACTTTTTAGCTTGACACTTACTCGACAAATTTGAAAGACATTATAGGTACCTACCTACATTCTATATACATATTATTCGAGAGTGAGTTTTGGTTTCTATTTGCGTTTCTTATTGCAGGGTGGTGGAGGTATAGTAAATCAGCTGCGAAAAAGTTATAGTCTAAGTGATTTAAGTAATTCTCACGATCAAGCGGAAAGTGACGAGACTGATTCGGTAGCAGAATCTGTTGTATTAAGAAAAAAAAGAGTTCCTTACGCAGCTTCGACCACTTCCGCAATATATTTTTCGGAAGTTGATGTTAGGCATGATGTAATGGCGCACATACCATCGCCTGAAGATGCGGGATTTGGATATTCCAGTGGAGATTCATTATACAGTGGTCAACTATCTAAAGCCCAGTCGAAAGAAAGCTTAGTTCGAAGCGGATCAATTGGCTCAACAAGACCTCGCTCTGTAAGAATCACTCGATCAACGACAGTTCCTAAAAATACTGCGCAAGCTGTTGATTCTAATGTAAGTAACAGTTTAGCCTTCATAAATACAGCTAAAAGTTTTATATTAAAGTTTGTATTTACCTTTAGCGGTCCCGTAAAAATGATTTTGATAATGTACAGCGTGAAGAGTCAGATTCTTCTAGCGAATTTTTGGATGCAAATGACGATAATGCATTGAACCGCCAAGTTGAAGTAAGCAAAGAAATATGCCGTAGTAACTTTAGTTTGAACGATTCAGTTACCAAAACAGTAGATAAACGAGCTGGGAAATATAACAAAAAATCTGCACCTTTACCACCACAGTCTATTGGTAAAGAAGGATGTGATAGCATTCCAACAATAAAGGCGACGTTAGTACTAACTCCCGGCGCACTTAAATCAGATAAACCTTCCAATAGAAAGCAAAGTACAAAGTCTGACCAAAGTTCTCCACTAACACGTTTAATGTTGTTTCAAAAAAAAGTGCAACATTTTTGGCATAAAGACTTTGGGAGTGAAAGGAATTTGCAACCTATGAGTAATGCTAAACGATCGTCTTGGTATGCCGAATTACCTAAAACTACCCAATTGCTGTTGGTGAATTCAAAACCAATTTCAAAAAGCGCAGAAAATTTTCAAGCTAAACCATCACCACAATACAGGCCACTATGTTCGGGAAACGAACATGATACCGATAGTCATTGATTGATACAAGGCATGCCATGTTATAATAATTTGCATGTTTAAACTAATCACTACCTTATTACTTGCCGTTTACTAGTATAACAGTTTCAGAGTGACCTAAAACTTTTACGTGAAATTTGCTTATACTTAAAATCTTATGCTCATCAAAAATATATTTCTTCACACTGCAACAGTGAACAACTTCATTAACCTCAACAAAGCGTATCTCAGTTTCAGCGCAAAATTCAGTACTGAACTAGTACCTATTATTAATAATTGTGTGGCTTTAGTTTCTGTTACTGCATAATAAAGGTATATATCTATGTCTTTATGATGATGGAGCTTGCAGGTAATTTCACCGCATGCTCAAAATTCAATTTGAAACAAGTGTGACTTGTTATGTTTAACCTGTTTAACTGACAAAGCTAAGAGTGAGAGTTGTGTTTTATAAATGCGCTATTATGTTACAGGTAATGTCAAGTGCCACATTACCCCGCACAAAGAAGACAACAGTGAAGAAAAAACCTGCCTGAGAAGTAGGTAGGTAATGCTCCCTAATTTCGCAGCTCATATAGGTACCAATCCAGTATGTTAATAATTTGGTTATACACTTTTTGTTTTCTGTACTGATAATATGCTTGCACAAATATAGACCTAATATTTGTAGTAAGTGTATAGTTTGTTGTAAAATTATTGAATCAGAGGATTATCGGTTGTGCTGTATTTGTATTAATTTATTTATTAAGTATATTTGAAAATTATGAGACACTGTTAAAATAAATGATATTATATTAAAGGTGATTAATAAATAATAAATATGGTGTTTAGTTTAGCCACAGATATACGTAAAGTTTAGCTCAGTACTAACATTGAATTTATAGTTATAAATTCAATGGTACTAATAAGCATGGCTGATGGTTGACCAAGCACACACGCATGTGTCATATGCCGACATATCGGGGCAGTTCATTAGGGCGCAGTAACATATTGTTAAAGTATCGATTTCCGCCTACTGATATTTTTTTGCGTACCCCCAAAAGCCCACTTGCGTACCCCTCGCAGGTTGGGAACCGCTGGTTTAGGGAATTACTTAGTGTGTTACGTTTGTCCCAGATGGAGCCGTAAAAAGTTCGTCGTTTGGAAATAATCTTGATTTTTAGATGTTCTGCGAACTTGGCACTTTTGTATCACTTAAAATTGCACAAGAGGTTTGTATTTTACCGATTAATACACTCCATTAATATTCGCCCAATCAGCTTGGTGATTGTTTCAAATTCTAACCAATCAGGCGATTTTTTAAGTGATTTTTAGCTTTTTTATCAGCGATTAACGCATGGTGGCATTGTAATTACTATATTGGTGGGATATATTGGGGTAATGCCGCAATTTTGATTATTTACAATGGCCAAAAGTAACTATGTAGTAGTTTCTACGGCAGTAAAAGTAAATAGGTACAATGGCAAACATTTCATTTGCAGTTAATTACACTTTATTCAAAGTGCAAGGATAATTTAAAACATCACATTTTATCACGTTACTTTCAAGAAATAATGCATTTCAAATAATGTATTTTGTAGGAAATTTTATTTAATTTTGTATAGGGCGCCCATCTTCAAAAAAACGTATGTTTTTGAGATATAAGTAAAAAACTGAAAAAATTCCAATTTTTTGCGTATTTCGGTATAAAGCCGACTTTCCTGACCCCTTAGGCACATCGGCTCCTTATGGGCGAACGACTGGCGTTTGGTAGTTGAGGGGTTGCTCCGTTTGCTCTTTTCTCCCTCTTGGTCATTTGGCCACTGGTGCTGACTTTTGGACGCCTAGCGCTTCTCTGGTTGGCCCTTACGGCGGCGCCTGTTAGAAGTGGCATTATGCTCGATTGCCACTTGTTTTGCTGATACGGCGCATACTGCCGATTTCTGCGAGTGCGGAGCATAACAATGGGTGCGTTCACCAGAACCAAACGTGTTTGCGCTTTGATTACGTTTGCAAACACAAACTGTTTAGGCGCTGGTGAACGATAGGGTGCGTTTGCCAGAACCAACTGTTTGCAAACCGTTTGCGCTTTTTACATAAGTACGTTTACTGAACGCGTTGCTGGTTGTTAAACTGTTGGCAAGCGGACGCCATTTTTTGAATCACAATTTAAACTCGCTGAAAATCACAAACGTGTTTGTAAGGCATGCATATCTATTTGTTTAAACCATCGGCATATAGGTTTATGCGTGAAATTGAAGTAAATTACTAGTACCTATACCTACATCACGACCAAAAATTGTATAATTGCACATTGCGCAATGCGCTTTAAAGTTGTAAGAGATAAATCGAATAATTTAATTATTAATGAAGAAGGGAGCATTCCATGTATACAGGCTGATTCAAATTCGAGGGCCACCAGGGGGATCTCCTGAGAACTGTAAGAAATAGAGGTTGGCAAAGTTGAGTAGTTTGATACTTAACAAAATGTCGTTTTGAAACTGAAAAAATTCCGACTACTTTCGGAGATATCCAGAAAAAAAATGACATTTTACAAAATCGTTTTTATTTGTTACCTAAGTTATTTAAAAAGATATTTCAAAATAAACGGCACATAATTGTGACCACTTTATACAAGATGCTAGTTTTAAATTTTTAGTCTGACGTTTCGTCTCCGGTTAACCATCATCAGCTTTGTTTTTTCTTATAGAAGTCATTTTTACTTTTTGTGTCATTTGATAGAGCTTTTTCCTATCAATAAATGGTGCTGTTAATCCGTAAAAACGCAAGAAACTGCGAATGTACACTGCTCACGACAAATTTGACAGACAAAAAAGAAGATATTTTAACAGTATTACTTCAGCCTCCCACAACCAGTTTTCTTTTTATTGTGGACAAGGGTTTCATAATTCTCCCGAAATTTCCGATCCAAGTCTTCATGTTACACATCATGCCTTTTTTCTTGATACACGTCTTATATTTCTGACCAAATATTTTTTTCCCTTTTTGATTCTCGAATGTCAAATTTGAAATACTCGGCGAGTAATAACTTTGTAGTGAAATCGTTCCACACCAAACTTCTCTTCGAATCTAATTAGGGTACATTATTCGTATAGGTACTAATAATTAACACAAGTATCTCTATAACCTATAACTGATACTGGCTGAGTGCTCTCGATTTCATTTGGACTTGTACTGACCCCTTCATATGCGGTTTATGAAGGCTCCAAAACGGCACGAACGATTTGCTCGTCTAGTAGATTGCTGGGCATCAAACTCTGCCTTGCAACACTATAACCTATAACCATTTACTCAAGGATCCAGTGAATACGCATTTAATACTCCCATCTTGATTTTCTATAGGACAATTCAATTCATCTGGTATAGCAGGATGTATTTAAACTGTAGAAAGGTTGCCATATTTTTATTGAAATGTACAAAAAGAATACAAAACGGTTTTCTCAAACTTCACTCAAATTAGATTTGACGTGTGGTTTCCAGGCAAATTGCGCGTTCAGTAATTATGCTTATATAAAAAGCGCAAACGGTTTGCAAACAGTTGTTTCTGGTGAACGCACCCAATGTAAACCATTCGTTGAGTAATTATTCAGGGCATCTGATTCTGGATTTTTTGGTGGACACTTATGTCTAGAGTTTAGTAGCAATTTGGCCACAGTGTAGTTCAGATTATTTGGTTCAGGATGAGCTACAAAAAATTGGTTCTTTGTGTTCAAAATACAAAAATTGGGTCAATTCTAATCTAAGTTTGTAGCCCCACTTATTTTAAACTATTTCGAAACTTTTTTTATGTATTAGACGAACCGACACAAGTTTTGGAGGACGAAAACTCTTTTTATTGACAATCACTGATATCAACGAGATATCGGCAGTCAAAAGTGCAAAAATGCCATTTTTTATGATTTTCGATTTAGGTGTATATATGAATGAAATGCTTTGAAATTTGAGTTGCGAACGATCAATCGTGACCGGCCTCGAACGTAACAGTACCTATCGTTGTCTTTTCGCGTGCCTGAGGAACAATTTTTTTGGAGTTTGATTAATTCGATATCTATAAAGAAGTTTCCGTAGTGAATTGTTGGTCACGCAACTTGCAAGCAAACGTCGCCGATTCCTTGGTAGGTATAGGTAGCATTATAAACAGAAAACAGTGGTGTTCCCATAGGGTATACTCAGAGACTTGCTATAACTAGACTGCGCTTAACGTATCTAAGGTGTTGTCGACACAGTATGCAACACACAATGCACCGCGGGGCAAAAATCGCTGAGATGATATGCAATATAATGAAATAAGCTGTTATTTTAGATGTTCCGTTCATTAATCATTCTCGTGATTAGCTCGAATTAGTGAACAGATAAATTTCTGTTGAGAATAAACCAATAAACTTAGGTTAGCTTGTGCCTCTCAACATGTACTCTGTCGATAAATTTTTAAATAATATACTGATTTTCAACGGATAAAAGTTTAAAGGGCCAATGGATCAGAGCCATTCGAAGAGAAAAATTTACTCCCACCATAGTGCATTTGCGGGGAATGAAGCCGATTTTAGAAAGGTACCTACGAAGGTGTTAAACAATAATGCAATACCGAGCGTTTTCGACTTTCCCATTCACTTAAAATATTAAGTATATTTCAGGTTTTGTTACAAGAAAAATAGCTAAGTCTGTTAAATATTCCATATGTGCAGATGCGATATTCGCATCAGAGAGTCATTCAAAGCTTTTAACTAGAAAAAATCGTGGAGGATTGTTGCACGTATCAAGCGATGCATTAAAAATTTGCCAAATTGCTGAAAATGTGTTCAGGTTTTTCATTCAATCCACACCACACCGCGTTGTAAACAAAATGGTTATCAGCAGTCTAAGAAAAATAAATAACAGTTACAGCCCATTTGGGTTTTTGGATAGGCATATATTGAATCAAAATCCGCTAAATAATAATATCTTACCTACTACTTACATCTTTAGTTTTAAGAGTACATTTTCCCATACGTGTTCACCACCAAAATACACATATAAATCAAATTAGGACTAGAGTAAGGCAGTTATATACCAATTTAGTTCAAATAAAATACCAATAAATTCGATTAAAACAGTTAACAGCTGTATGTTATCTCTTTTTGCTACTAAAATTTAGAATCAACATGGCTAAAGCAAGCTGCAGAACGTACGTCTGCCCCGCAATGAACAGTTAGTTGCCTATCCTATATTGACAACAGGCGTTTATAGTAAAATCTACGTTACGCCTTTGAATATATAATTTTATATTCAAAGGTTACGCGCGGTCTAGTTATAACAAGTCTCTGGGTATACTCCATATACGCCGTATACTCTCAAGAATTTGTTAGACATATAGCGTATACTCTCAATCAAGGTGCCACTGGACATGATAATTATACATCAAGCGAATTGAAGGTCCTATGTTATCCGCAAACATATTTTTTTTTACCAATCCGCAAACATAGTTTTTTTTACCAATTTAGAGCGCTGAAACTGCGTTTTGAGTAGGTATCAAATTTTTATAAATTTGTCAGGGGATTCCCCCCCCCCCCCTCGCGTTTTAAAGGGAACCTCGATCGCAACCACCCGCTCAACTGAGTACACCTCGGAGTACACTCTCAAAGAAATTGATGGGAACATCACTGATTACCTATGCAAATATAAACTTTCTCTAAAATTGAAACTGCTCTTGATTGCTTTACAATAGGAAATATAAGGTTCTCAAGAAGATAGGGATAATTTGCATTACAGTTTTATTTACAATATTCGACAAACATCTATAGTAAAGGTAGTTCATATACCTACAATCGCCAAGCACTAAAATATAATAGGTAATAAACAATTACAGTCAGAATAAAGGACCTCGATCGAACAATTATGCAATCGAAAATCGAATTAGAACCGTTGTTTATTTACAACTATAATCGGAACACTAACAATTACTTTTCTATCAAACAACAATTTAAAAAATATAACTTTTTTTGGATTTGATGCGGTTTCTAAACTTCGTTGAGTAGGCACCGAGCGAACAAGCGCAGAAATATTACCATGCGTTTTTGAATTATAGAACATATGCAGAAATATAAAAATTAATTCTATGTTTTCCTATGCCTATGCTCGCTCTCAGACTAATAGCAATATTGATGTCTTTAAAAGCCCCCTTAGTTTCGATTTTTATATATTTTTTTTCTTTTCTAATCAATAACTAACCTAAAAAATCGGAACCCAAACCGTAATCATTTCTTTGGAACCAGAATGAAACTGTTACAGATACCACATTAATAAAAAAAATTGGAACCAAGACCCTCCGTTTCCAATGCGTACAGATCTCCAGATGAATTTAGAATACAAAGACTGAGTGCACAATATATCACACAGCACTTAGGCCCGGTTGTATAATGTCAGTTCAAACTTCAGTTTATAGTTGAATTGTGGGTTAAAGGATTTAATTGGCTAATATTTCACAAGCTGGCCAATCGTATTTCTCAAATCTGTCGGTTAAACCAAACTGAAGTTTAACCGGACATTGTATACAACCGGGCCTTAGTGAAACAAATTTTACTAATCTCTACATACACATAATAATGTTAAACTTTGTATTTACATTGGAACTGCACTAATATTTAGACCGTGACTACGCACACAACGAAATCACAATAGTATATTAAGTATGGAGAACGGTAAGGGATTTTTACCGTTCGAAGACAATTGTTTGGAGGAGGAGCGAAGCGACGACTCCAATTATTGTCTGAGAACGGTAACCCTTAACGTTCGACATGCTTATAACATTTTTTGCGCGATCGAAATTAAAATTATCCAACCAATATAACTATGCACTAAGAAATTAACGAGCAGAATAAATCGAAATGATTGAAGTGGTATGGTGTACATCACTAGGCAACCAGTTTAAATGTCAAAATTGAAATTAACAATTTCATAAAAATGTGCATGTGTCTGATGTAGTTTACTAGCTTTGCACTTCCTTTATGACTTTATGAGCGTCTTGCTATAGGAAACAACAGCACAAATTGTACGATTAATGTACCTAACAATAATTAAAGATTAAATGTAATGTAAGATTGTTGATTTTTAAAAAGGCGTCGGTAAGTATTTTTGCTGTTCTGTTTTTAGATCGGTAAGTAATTTTGGCGTCGTCGTAATCATAGCAACTGGTAAATTCTACGTACTGTCATGGAAACACCCATGGTAAATAGTCAGAAATGACCGATCGCGCAAAAAATTATATGAACTTGAGTGTAGACACGCTAAAGAAACATAATAAATTATTCACTTCAAATTACGATTTTAAGATATCTTTGCTATGCGAGTTTAAAATTGCTCTCTTGGGAACACGGACAGTGTTTTCAAACCTTTTTCACCAACATCTGGTAGGTTCTTTTCTGGCAGCTTTGTGGCCCCTTTATTATTGCCTTCCCCACCCGTATCGAACACTTCTGGATTGCCAGTAGTGATATCGACAACATTTCCTACTTTACGATGCTTGTAATACCAATACTCGAATATAAGGGTACTAAACGCGAAACATATGCCCACGAAAATAACAATAAAGACGCCGCCAATGTTTTTAACGCTGATACCTTCTGTTTGATCCTCTTCCTTGTCGCACTCGACGGCGTAAGGGTTGTCTTTCCACCATTTTTGCGAAAGCCTCCGCATCTCGCCCTTATTTAAGAGATCCAAAATTCTGAAATGTTGAATAAGTTAAATAAGTGTATAATTACTTTATTTGAATATAGACTACGTGTTTTATAATCAAAGGTAAATCCTACCAGCGTCATTTATTTGTAACATAATAATTTCCTATGGCATATAATAATGAAATGGGTATTACCTACTATTTTTCACTCAACGATATAGTCCAGTCATTTTAGGAAATATAGATCAAGTATAAATTGTGCACAACTCTTGTGCAGATAAAGCGAAATAGCTTAGAAATTTGTTGGGTTTATAAGGTAGTAGCATTGAAGATAGTTATAAATTCAATGGTAGTAGCATGCTATGGATGTTTACTTTCTCGGTAGCTGATTAATGGAGAGGAGGATCTTTACACCTATGTAAACATTTAAAGACCGCCTGGCATAGATTCAAAATCCTCCGACACTTCATTTCGCAGATATTTGCACTGAAAGCTTTGATATCACCAATAGATATGTCTCGTCCTGACGTTCCACTTGCCTTTTATGGCTACGCTCTTCTGGCACTCATTGTGACCTTTCATTAGAGTACCTACCTACTATGAAGCATAAATACTACACTACACTACACCAACGATAAAACATTGGAAAAGTAGTGTGATTTTATGGGGTTATTTCTTGGAGTGGGTTTGAGGAAAAGGGATGTCTACAAAGAGAAAGAAAATAAAATATACAAATAGATCGTTGGCATTTTTAATAGTGTGCTCTCATAATGATCCCCAGGACGAGTTTAGAGGAGCTGCACGTACCTAGTAGGTTTTTGGCTTATTCGTGTGTTTTATATGCCTTCAACAAAATGCCTTTTGCTTATCTACTGCATCTTTATTTTGCCTTTATTTTTTATTTTTATTTTGCCTTTATTTTTTAAGTGGGCGGGGTTTCAGCCGAGGCTGCTCTATCAACCCAACCCACTATACATTTACAAATATCCATGCCCGAACCCGGATTCGAACCAGGGACCCTGTACCGCAGTCGAGCTTCCACTGAACTGCGCTACACGGGCCGGCCCCACAAGTAGCTTCCAAACTGTTCACTAAAATGTTCTATACTACCCTCTCCTGAGAAAAAAAAGAAACATGAAGATGAAGAAACGTGAAATGAGTAATATTTAAATGTTTCTTATAGTTTACACAAGAAACATCATCATGTTTTCATTTTATAAAACTCAAACATCGGGGTGCCAGCAAGTGTCGCCAAATCGATAACAGAATAGTCACCGCCGATAAGGCATGAATGCGGACGCCTTCTAGACCCTGCAAACGTTCCGTGATTTATCTTGAAAATTTTCGTTTGCTATGTAAGCAAATTAAAGCGCGTCTAATGGGAGTTCTAACATAGATGCTGAAGGATGATTAGTGAAGTTAGCGCACGTATATGATAAATTTACATGTTATAAATTGTGTACGAGTGAGTGATAAATAATATAAGTATAACTGTTATATATCAATCCAAGGACTGTTATAAATTAACAAATAATTAATTATAAATAAAAAATCAAGTAATTAAATTTACGTTACAATACATTCCATCAACTTACGCGGTGTTTAGTATGTCTTTTAGATGCGAACCCTGTTGGACGGCTAACGCGTATGGTTTTCTGGAAAATTCATCGCCCACCTTTTGCAAATCGCATGTAGTGAGTTCTAAGTATTTAATATCGGTGGCATCACCAATGAAGGCGTAACCTGCATGTTTCGATGTCGAATTTGTGGTTCTCACTCTTTTAACCGCATCTGCTAACGTTTTGTTCATACCTGCTTCTATCATTGTTTGCCATATTTTTGTATACCTGTCACTCACTGGGTAATCCCATACAGCTAATTGTGCTCGTTCCACATGAGTTAAGCTGTCATTCAAGCTCATATTCTTCCATATGCTGAAACATTTGAAGTTTACATCTACCTACCTGTTTTACATGTTCAAGCGTTAGCTTACTCATAAAATATCTTTTCAACATTTGACATACGTTCAAAGTAAGTTGCCGTTTCCGATCCTAGAAGAGGAGAATACTGTATTTTATACTGCCTCGTTAAGTCATCTAAAGATTCTATAGGCGCCTCTAGTCGCGAAACCGTGAGAAATGCCGCTAAGTTAGCGGTATAAGATGCGATAATAATAAATCCAAATAACCACCACGTAGCTGCCACTAAGCGACCAGATAAGTTTTTAGGGGCCTCTCCACCTCCTTGGGGTGTTAATGAAGTCATACAAAACCACAGGGATTCTTTGATATGGAACTCTCTTTTCTCTTCGTCGTCGATGTACTTCTCAGGATTGTTCTGCAAGCTGTATGGACTCCAGCGATCGAACGCCCACAATAACAAACTATTTCTATGAGAACGTTATCTTTATAAAAATCAATGAACATACCTCGTTAAAAAGAAAGCCGACAGAATGCAAATCCACACTTCGTGTTCAAGTACCGTTAAGAATTTGAATAAAGAGGACGGAGGTATGGTTAGCTTCATCAAAATCGTAAAACCTACCATGTCGTAATAAGGAACGGTAAAGTCAACAAACGTTTCCCTTTCGGCCATAATCCCCATCGTTCCCAACGCTATGTCGGCTTTTTTGTCTATTAGCTGTTTCATAATTCCATTCCATTTGCCGTTTTCGCCGATCTGCCCGAATCCGTCTTTTTCTTGAACTCTTATTTCATAATCGAATTTTGATTGTTTAGCAACCATGTCCATGAAGTCTATGCATAGCCCCGAATACCCTCTTGGAGTAGATTGGTTTATGTATACGAATGGCGGTTGCTGAAAAAGTGTAACAATTTAGTGGTTTTTGGTCTATTATTTAAACGTGAGTTACCAATATTGCCATGTTTAGGGTAGAATTCAACAATTAGCTATGGTTGATTAACCGTCATGTGATGTGTTACGTACAGTAGATATTTTATACTCATTGTTTACTGGATTTTGAGTAATAATTTGGTGGCCTTACCCTTTTCTTAAGCCTTAGTTTAAATTTTATTTAAGTCCAAAAGAAAACAAAATTTGATCATGACAAGCAAGTTCCTTTCCTGAGTACCTATATGACTTTCGAACTTTACGGTAGGGATTATTAGCCGCTAAAGTGAAATTCCTTCGATAAGGGGTGATTGTATTAGTTAAAATATAACCTTGAAAATATAATGCATTAATCACATGACTCTTCATCAACTCAATTGGTGAACATTATCAAATGGAAATATGGAGGGCGATAGAGACGGGAAATTCACATAAGTATATGAGAGGAAGAGGGAGATATGTAATTGATTATATTTTAGTAAGGGCCGGTTCTACAATTAAACCTTTACGCAGAATAAGATATCCTTGGAATAGCTGCAATAGCAACATGTATTCCATTGGTTGAGGTAATGGTAACCAACGTAACGGTAGAACACATGAAGGAAATGATGGGAAGAATGTGAAAGCAAAGGAATGGAGAAAAGTTGAAGATGATGAGATTTAGAAAGGGAGGTGGAAGGAAAAGAGCGAGAGGAAAGAATAGAAGCGACCAGAGAAGTTAATGGGTCAAATGGGACCAATAAGAGAACTAAGGAGAAAGGAGGTGATGGTGACGAGACACGTGGGGGAATAAGAGAGAGAGGTTTCAAGAATGATTTCAGAACAAGAAAATAACTGTTTGATGCAATTGTGAAAGGAGTGTTTAGGTACGGAACGCCTGCTTCATTTTCCCACTACTTGTCAAAATCTGACGAAAAACAATTATAAATCAGCAATCGTAGTGGAAGCAATTCATGGAGTTTTGCGGCTCAAAAATTCAAGCTCAATGAAAATATACCTATTAAAGAAAAAAATTATTTTATATTAAAATTATGCGCCGCAGAGATGGCCACTGGGTAAGAGTAAAAAGACAATTTGGAAGTCAGTACCTAAAAGAATCCAAAATAAATTTTTTGAATAATATAAAATAAAAACTCAGTTTTTTGATAATGAGTTTACCGACGCCAGGGCAGCAGGGGATTTTACAAGAAAAGAAGGAATTCCTTGAAAATGAAAGCAAAGCGCCATTGCTTTCATTTTTGAAGAGTGCATGAAAAAAATTTGAGACGAAAACGACCCGCCGCCGGACTTATTGCAAGAAAACGTCGGAGCTAAAGAATTAGCTTGGATGGGGTAATGAGGGAGTTTTTGAGCTATGGATTACTTTAAAAAAAGTTTTTACCAATAGAATTGAGTATAGTCCGAACAAAAACATTTAAGGGGGAAGCAGAGCTGTTGCGAAAGCAAATGGTTATTAACCAACGTCAAAGACCCTGACCTTTGTCTAGTTTGTGCTTATTGAAAAGCGAACAAAAAATTTAAAATACAAAAACCAATCGTCGGTTGTCGGTTACAAATTAACCAAAACTGGTTCACCGTGATACAAGAGTCTTCCTCTAGGCTTTGAATATAAAGCTCTAGATATAAAGAGTGTTCAAAATGAGGTCAGCAAACCCTCTGAGATAGGGATTGACACATCGCAAATCACTCTTTTCGTTCAGCTGCATGTGGCAAATGCAGATATGTCGGAACAACAGATAATGCAGATAACGGGGCATAGCAATTATTCCAAATGATTACAATCGTAATATGCAAACAGAGTGGTATCCAAAAATCACAGACACTTTTAGCAGCGCCAACGTCACTTGCCAACACGTTAAATACAGAAACAAACCACAATTTATCAACAAACAAACAAATACTTAGTTTTTGTTTGCACATACATATTTCGTCATTTGTAAAAAAACATAATTGTTTATTAAAATATTTTGCATAGTTTTATTTATTATATTTTCTTTCTAAATATAACTCGTGGTTATCGATGATAGTACCCCTTAAAACTTAAAACCTTAAAAGTCGTGCTAATAATTGTACCTAAGTACCACTATAGTGATATTACACACGATAATAGCGGTCAAATTTTTAACAGGGTATGTATAGAAGAACCATTTATTTGCTTATCCCAAAGAAAAAACATAACCCACATTTAAAAGGAGTGCATTTGATAAAATCGCAACCCTTTATTGTAGGTACTTATAAACAAATGCAGAACACTGTTTATCACTAACAAAAATAGAATTAGGGTATGGTGAGAGAGATATATGCACAAAAATTGTCAACTTACAACAACGGTGTACACTCTGTACACGACTTCTGGGCGGTATTTCTGCAATTTTTGCGAATCGGTATACTCGATGGGAGAGCTTGGATCTACGCTTGCCTTCCACTTTCCAAGTTTCACGGGTGGCTGTGTAACTCCATCTTTAATAGTAACGCCCAATACTTCCATGTCAAATTGCATATAGCTTTTCGAGTTTTTCCCTTTGGTACTGATATTGAAAGGTCCATATGCCGGCTCTTCTCCTGAAACCTATGAATATATTAGAGATAGTTTTTGTGCACAATGAGAGTGCAAGCAGGGCATGCTTATGTAACGCCCGGTTGTATAGATGGAAGTTAACATAAAGTAAAGTTTAAATTGGAAAGGAAAGGGCCGTGTATCTTATAGTATATTCCTAACCACTACAAATCAACGGGGGGAGGGGGGGGGAGGTTCATTGTACATTTCACATTTCAGCAATGGTGCAATGCGATTATTGGCTCTCCAAATTATTTTAGAGCAAAAATGTACTAAGGTTTTTTGTAGAAAAAAATTTTTTACGCCAATCAACCGTATTAGTTTTCAATTTTTTGCATAATAAAGACGGTTAAGTGCATTTCCTTTATTGGGATTTTGTAACTCGAAAACCGTAAATAATCTTTTCTGGATGTTTGTTTAATTTGTAATCGAACGCAAATGCGTGGTTTGTTTAATCGGACGCTGTGGTCCAATTTTGTTAGATAGGATTTTGTGTAGGTATAATTTGATTTGTGTTCTCGGAACAAATTTTGTTTATGCAAAATCATGCAAGTCGTGTTTTTATTCGATCCCTTTCACAATTCAGATAGATGTGTCATGCTCAATTACGATTGATTTTGTCGATCCGCGCCCAAAGTTCATATCAAGTGCTTGCAAAATTGTGGTAAATGACCTTTTTTGCAGTTTAAGGAGTCTGATCTTGACTATTGTTTAGTTGAAATCATGAATTTAAAGTGAGAATTGATTTTTTTATTGTGCCCGGGTGCGGATAGGGAGTGAGAGGAATTTCATTAAAGGGCTAGTCATTTGTCTATGAAATGTCCCGGAATTGTTTTCCATGACTTTATAATCGCTGCAAGATGAATCAGCAAACCAATCATATATGGGAAATTCTTTGTGAGCGAGACCGTTCCTTAACATGAATTTCGGCGTGCTGATAAAATATAGCTTCAAAGCGAAACGTCTAGAAAGCTGTTTCATTTCAAAGGTATATGATTTATGAAGAAAAAATCGACAAATATACGCAACTTCACCGGTTCCATAAACATGCCGTTGGACTCACTACAATAGTAACAATTAGCACTACATCTAATCACGTGCCCAGTCACTGCAAGGTCGGTCCTATAGTTTTGGTCGTTCAATAAAATTAGACACTTTTTATACTAATAAAAATATTTACGAATATAAGAGAGGAAGAGATTTTCATAACAATAAAATAAATTGATGACAATAGCTCTGGGGTGTGTATATTTGTTTGCTCTGATTACGTATATTTATTGTGTAAAGTGATATGTTGATGTCATAGTTTTACTATTTAGAGTAGGTAGACAAATATATCGATTTTACCCTTGCTTTATTTTTCCTTACGAGGTATATGTTACGTTCACTACCTGAAATTCATTTGGAAGCGTATTTTAAGACCGATGATACATTTACAACATTGAATTGAGAAATAAGCAATTTTGGGAAGTCATAATCAAATGCGTGTTAATTAGGGTGCCGATTTTCTGAAAAAAAAAGCTTTACTGTAATATATATTATTTTATATAAGGTAGGCATCAGGAGAGTAAAACAATGTTCGTACCGTAAGTAAAACCGGCATTACCGTAAGCGACCTATACCTATTATAAGTCGATAGGGCATTATTGGTGACAACCACACATTATCATATATCAAGTAGAATTATATACATTATATACCTACATAGGGTGCTATAAATCCATATTTTTACTTATAGTCCGAGAAATAGACTGAAAATGGTCCATTTTCTGCAAAACTAGCAGCACAGATTTAAATAGTAGTTCCAATTTTTTTGCATGTCATGGAGGGTCATCTGGTGGTTAAGACTCCAAGTTTTCGGCCTCCCATCCCTTGTACTTCCCCCGTACCACCCTTAAACCCCTGAAATTTAATTAGTTTTTAGCGCATTTTTGCAAATTTATTTGTAAAAAGTAGCTTTTAATCTCACTTTGGCTGGCTGGCTGGCTGGCTGGCTGGCTGGCTGGCTGGCAGCAAATGTGGGCGCGTAGAAGAACTCTTGTAGAAAGGCAACGGGTGTACGTGTATCTACAGGGCCGTGAAATTTGTCAACCTTAGGGACATGGCTACATGATGTGGGGTTGGCGACATCTGGGCGTCATCCTCGAGCGTAGTATACTAACGTGAAGGTTTTTCACTTTTTTCCTATCTTCTACTACAGTTTTGGTCCGATTCTTTTCAAATTGGTGTCGTCGGAAAGATGTTGTAAACGCGCACAACTCCTGCGTGGCGGAATTTTGTTTTTTGTCCTAGGGGCGAAATTAACGACCTTTTGCGAGGCGCGCGCGCGCGTTTTCGAGAAGTAGTCAACTTCGGGCGCCTTTTACCTTCCGTTGCGAACTCACGCGGTTTAACGTTTCGTAAATATCGAATCGCTGTCTCTCTTTCTCGTGCCGCCAATAGAAGTGAATTGCGAGTGAACGGGACGTCGGAAGCGGGTACCGTCAAAGGGAATGTGGTAGCCCGCGACACGATCTTACTGATGGTGTAGTCAAATCTTCAACCGCGACGCCAAAGGGAATGTGGTAGCCCCCAACACGATCTTCCTGATAGTGGAGTCAAATCTTCAATCGCGAATTGCGGCTGAACGGGACGTCGGAAGTGGGTACCGTCAAAGAGAATGTGGTAGTCCGCGACACGATCTTACTGATAGTGGAGTCAAATCTTCAAACGCGAATTGCGGGTGAACGGGACGTCGGAAGGGGGTACCGTCAAAGGGAATGTGGTAGCCCCCGACACGATCTTCCTGATGGTGGAGTCAAATCTTCAAACGCGAATTGCGGGTGAACGGGACGTCGGAAGTGGGTACCGTCAAAGGAATGTGGTAGCCCCCGACACGATCTTACTGATGGTGGAGTCAAAACTTTAAAAGCGAATTGCGGGTGCACGCGGAAAGTGGGAAGCGGTTAGTGAATGTAGTAGCCTTTGACAAGATCTGTTATTGATGGTTGAGTCGAAAGTGGCTAATAGAATACTGATCTGCCACACAAAAATGCGCTGAAGTCCCTTCGATCTCAAACGAGGACTTTGATAATTTTTTAGTTTTTCAATCATATCTTTTTAAAGGTTTACTTTAGAAAGAAATATTGTTATTAGAAATTATAGACCATAATATTTTACATTTACAAATTTGATATATAACTGCTTATTTTTGAGAAATGTTTATTTAAAAAGATAATAGCGAGCGCGAGTAGGTTCGATGAAAGCGACGCACAGCTAAAAATTTGTGGGGCTTCGAAATTTGCATTCAACGCGCGTCGTATTTTCTAATCGGCACCAAGGTAAATAATAATAAATGTGTAGGATTGGAGAATTTGTATTGCGGGAACTCGGGCAGCGATGGAGTTGTCTTTACCCTTGTTCGAGAATCCGTTTGCGTTCGTTCCATTTCAGGCGAACTTGATTTTTTTGTACGTGTGGGTTTCGAGCAAATCAAATCAACCTTCCTATTTCGTATGAACACCATATTCGATTTTGATATCACTTCGCATAACTTTGCCCATTTAACTGACTTTATCTCTCTTTACGGTTTACGTGATTCTTATAGTGGACGTGGAAAAAAACTCACCCTGTATACAAGAAGTCCAGAATGTTGTGTTTTAAGAGCTACGTCTCTAAAATCATTGTGCCGAGAACTAAGCCAGAGTAAATCTGCGAAAAATTCGGTTTTTCCATTTTTTGGATTTTTAAGATTTGTGAGTAAACTATATTGCTTAGAGACGTCGTTCTATGAATTGGTTACAACATCTTTCCTACGATTTTACCGTAAAATGAGTAGGTATTTACTCGATGTTGGGGTCGAAAATTGATCAAATCTTAAAATTTCACTTTTTTAGAAAACATTGCCGAAAGCTGTATCTCGGTAAGTATTCAACCTACAATGCAATTTTAGTCTACTTTTAAAACGGATAGAACATATTTTTTAACAAACCGCATGTTTTAAGACTTATCTTGAGAAAAAGATGTGCGGTTTTTCAAGTGCTGCAGAAGTTTCGGAGTTTTTCAGTAGAAATGAGTTATGCAATGCCTCGGTTGATTAAAGAATGACGTGAGTGAATCAGTTATTACCGCCTGCTCATGATCAAACAATCCATTGTTAATATAATTATGTGGTTATAGCATAATCAAAAATAAATTTGACATGATTTAAAAATGAATTTTGAATTTTTATTAGGAGAAAGGTCTCAAAATGGCGTTGTGCATAGGGCCTCTTAAGGGCGCCACTGCCTTTTTGTTTGTTCTATACATATAAATGTATTTATTTGTAATTTGAGTGTTTATTATAATTGGCCAGTAAGTACTGACAGGTATGTGTAACCAGTCCTGTATTGTTTCATGAAAAATAAATTGTCTATCTGTGCAGTAATAACTCGATAATACGAATCTAATGCTGAAAACCGGAAGACTTTGCGGTATGTCTTTGTGGCGATCTAGATTGATTTATAAAAGGAGACATTTAAAGGATATCCGCAAATTAGGTATCAACTTCAGGATTCAGGAAAGGTTTTCAGCTCTTAGACTAAACGGTGCAGTACAAAACTAATCAAAACCCGAAGGCTGTTGCCGACATCTCTATCGATTTATACAACCCTTATAAGGAAAAAATTCTGATTTCTGATTTTGATGAAATTTGGTATCTGGGGTTTTTGAACATGAAAATCACGAATCTGAACTTAGTTTTTGAAAGTTCGAAAAAAAACTTCCACGGGAATTCTTGACTGGACAACTAAAATGAAGAGAATTCCCCGAAATTGGTTGTGTAGGTACATACTTGATGAGTTAAGGAACAAACTTGTCGAACAGTTTTTACTTTTCCGCACCCATAAATATGGATAGGTAAAGTATTGTTTTCATTACCGAAAAAGTCCGTTGTCGTTGGCGTTGTTGTAGTTGTCCGGTTTGTTAGCACCATAACTCAAAATTACTTGCCTCTTGGAAACGGCACCTATTAATTTTCAACAACGTAGGTCGCATCCTTCTGCGCATCATCCTTCTGCGCATACGCAGAAGTAAGTTTCTTATTTGTGATCCGATCCTACTGACAATCTAACAGTATCACCTTTTGCTGAAGGTAAATCGATCGATAATACTAAACTTGTGCTGCGTACGTGCGAAGAGGTAATTTTCTTATTTCTGGACCGATCTTACCGAAATTTTAATAGAAGCACTTGTTAATAAAAGCAAATCGTTCGATTATAGTATTAAACATGTTAAAAGCCGCTTTCGTGCATGTGCATTAGTAAATTTCCCCCGCCTGAACTAGTTTAATTTCACATGCAGTTAATTCTATGGTATTGAAGTCTACAAATTAGATTCCAAGAAGATGTAGATTGTGTGTGGCTGCGGGTGGTGCGGAAAATGTTATTTACTAGAGTTGTATAGAGTTCTATTACAATCAATAAGCATTAGTCTAAGTATCATAATACCTATTGACTTAAATCGTTACTTTTTCTGTTACTTGCGACATTTTCAACTACTATAACTACATGCGAAATTAGATGACTCTACTAGTAGGTGGGGGACACTTTCTGACCCGAAGAACTAATCTTCAAATGAGTATAACTTTTGTTGGAAAAGTTATTTTAAAAAACTGTGTAACAGTTTTGTGTCTTTACTCATCTAGCATGTAGGTAGGTACACAACAAATTTCGTGGTCTCTCCCTTTTCGTTGTCCGGCCAAGAATTGCAGTGGAATTTCTTTTCGAATTTTCAAAAACAATTTCAGATTCGTGATTTTCATGTTCAAAACCCTGGGGGTTTTTCATCATGCCCATCACGTAGACGGGTTCGAAAAATTTCCTACTGTTATTTGTTAACAAGTTTTGCATCTTCGAATAGATATTATGATATCGCGTCCTTCGGGAAGCTACCGCCCACCATTAACACGAGGATCTCGATCAAAAGAAACTTTACAAAATTTACAAAGAACCTAAAGTAAACGCTCATTTAAACAACTTTCTCTGTTTCCCTTAAAACTATGTGCATCTCTGTGGTGATTGTGTATAAGACATAAAAGAGTAAGAAATGATAAAATACTACCTCACTCAAAGCTTTTTTGAGCGGTATTTGTCCTCGAGGTGGAGTAGGGTTCTTATCTACATCGTACTCCTTGCATGGAATGTATTTCATATCTTTTGGCATTTGATTGGTGGTTACCAGGTTCCTAGAAATAAAAATTTATTAAAGATCACGTTCAGAAATTACTTTTGATAATTACCTCATGGCTAGGAACGAACGCAAAGCCAAGTCAAAATAAAACGTTGTCAATATTTGTGGCGAGCCGTGCAACTGGTAAGAGTTGATCAGAAACTCTAATCTTTTTCGATGACTCTCATCGCGTACAGGTCTTACTTGAACTATTGTAGCATTTCTGCAATTGCATTTCACATCTTCACTATCTTGCGTAAGAATGTACCATGAAAACCTTGGCGTAAAGAAACTATCATTTGCCTCATTTAAAACTAGTTTAACCGTATTTAGACTGCCAAGAATGAAATAAGTCATTATATCCAATTGTTTTATTTGCATTAATTGTCTCAGTATGTTAGCAGTATTTATTTGAGTCACAACGTGGCGTGCTCCAATATTTAGCAGCAAAGTTTTATATTTGAAATCCATCACTAAAACGCAGTGTGTTTAAAATAATATTATATGGTCATATAGTCCAAAAATATCTCAACAAGCGAGGTTGTGAAATCAACGAAAAACTCGAATGTCATCGTTAAATCTTTTGATTGATTACTTAAATGGTTTCGATTTTGTACGTGGGAGAGTGGTCCATAAGTACGGTGCTGAATTGTAAATGCGTCGAGAAGTCATGACGAGATCAGCTAGAATGACGATTTTGCAACGCTTACATGAATCGTTATCAAATTTCAAAGTAGCGTGGGATTTGCGCGAAATCACTCCACGTGGAGTCAAGTTATTGATGTCAAGGGTTTTTGATTGGAAGGAAAAATTAGTTTTTACTAGTGAATAAAGTTGTGCGTCCCAGAATGGGTGTCAACAAAAAAAAGTGGTGGTTGTAGGGAGAGAGCCGTCGGGAAATTGAGATTAAGCCACGCGAGAATTCGCGTCGAAGCGCGAAAGTTTTAGAATGAGAACTGAACAGTGAGAGCGTATTTTTTAAAATTGTGAATTGCTAAGAATCATTTGTATTATTTCAGCAAGCGAGCGTTAAGTTTAGCATAAAAAATGGCCGTTTAAATTCTTTTCGGACAACCTAAGTAGGTACTTCATTTTGGCGTAAAATTAACATTTATTTTTATTAATACAAGGTCTGTAAATGAATACGAGATTTTGATTTTTTGGTTGGTCTTGTTACTACCCGTTACTTGTTCGTGACAACTGATCAGTTTGTTGAGGAAGTAAATTAGGGTTTTCTGTCAGACGATTTTCATTCGCTTCGATTCGAAGCGCTACTAGATTTGCGTTGCACACTTTTGGTATTCCGAAATTTACCTACACTGTACAGAGTGGTGTTTTTAAGTGGACCATTAGAAGTATCTCAGGAATGGTTTGGAATTTCGATTCGGGACCTTTTCTGAATAATCGATCAAAAGGAATCATTTAAAGATAGCCGCTCTTCTGGGTTTATGAGAACGATATTGGAACTTTCTTATTCCAAATGGCACTATCTTTTCTGGTGGCATTTTCGAATTCCTTATAAAAAATCAATATGCCTTTGTCAATATGATGGCATATCTAACTGGCATGATTGACATTTTTTCACGGTTCCAAAATGTTTTTTCAAATGTGATTCGAAAATAATACGAATAAGCGTTCATAATTGAAAATGGGTTTTTGGTCAAAAACTCGAAATTTTTCAATGAAAACCATATCTTTTTTGTGCACTAATGGAACGAGCACAGAAAACGAACAAAAAAATGTACCTACTTCCAAAATTTAAAAAAAATTTACAAGTACATTTTTCTGCCCGCTTTTTTAGCGCATTTCCACAAAAATAAAAAAAAATGCGCTATTGTGGCCACTTTGTCCGTCCGTCCGTCCGTCCGTCCGTCCGCCCGTCCGTCCGCCCGTCCGTCCGCTCGTTTTGCGACGCTACTAGTTCTTTATCTTAAGAGCTATTGTTCTACTTTTTTCGCTATTTGGTTCGTTATGGTGTCGAGTCTTGTACCAAGGAAGGAATTTTTTCTGTACCGCTTACAAAAAAAGTTATTGTAAAAAAAACAAAAAACCGTTTTTTACATGTTCCATAATTTTACATTTTTGCCGTTTATTAACGATCCTAGAGATCGTTTATAATTTTGCATTGCTATCTGTCGTCTGCCTGGTCTGGTCTGTTCCTTTGTCTGTCTGTCCATCTATCTGTCCGTGTGAACGATAACTTTGTTTAGAAATGTTCGATCACTTTTACATCTCCGTTAGTTATGAACTGAATTGCATGAAACTCAATATGGGCATAGCTTTAGCCATATAATACGCAACGCCAAAAGTTGAATCGAATCGATTCAAAATTCACAGTGCCCTTTTCGCATCTCGACCATTTATAAACCGAATTGCAAAATTTTTTACTTATAAAAGCATTTGAATGAAATTTGATACATAAGCACCTGCAATAAAGGAAAATCAACTGCCAATTTCAAAATTTGGTTTTGCGCATGCGCAGTGCCAACTTTTTTATTTATGGAAGAATTTAAACGAAATTTGATACATAGGCACTTGGGATAAAGGAAAATCAAACGCCAATTTCAAAATTTGGTTTTGCGCATGCGCAGTGCCAACTTTTTTATTTATGGAAGAATTTAAACGAAATTTGATACATAGGCACTTGGGATAAAGGAAAATCAAACGCCAATTTCAAAATTTGGTTTTGCGCATGCGCAGTGCCAACTTTTTTATTTATGGAAGAATTTAAATGAAATTTGATACATAGGCACTTGGAATAAAGGAAAATCTAGCGCCAGTTTCAAAATTTTATTTTGCGCATGCGCAGTGCCAACTTTTTTATTTATGGCAGCAAAACCAAATAATATTTAAAAAAAACATTAACATTCGATAGCGTGGACTTTTAGCTGTCCATTCGTGATTTTGCTAAGTTGTCAAATAACAGTGATATGGCTAATTTACTGAATCTACTGAGTTCTACTGATTTTTTATGAGGAATTCGAAAATGTCATCAGAAAAGATTGTGCCATTTGAAATTAGAAAATTCCAGTATCGTTCTGATATGTAAAAAGCGGCCATCTTGAAAATATTTTTAAATGATTCCTTTTGATCGATTATTGAGAAAAGGTGATTTGTCCCAAATCGAAATACCAAATCGTTCCTGAGATACTTCTAATGGTCTCCTTAAAAACACCACCCTGTATATTAGCGTACGGTAAAATTGTGCTTTATTTTGATGTAATATTGTCGTTTTGATTTGTGAAAGAATTAATTCACGTCTTACGTGTTTACTGTATTGTTTAGTTACATGGCGTTATAGGTACATCGCGAGCTACGAGTTTGAAATTAATAACAACGGTTAGAGGGTACCTTAATTAAGCGTTTTCAACAAAAAATTGGTGGAAGAAGCCCGAAATTTTTCACAATTTTAGTAAGAAGTTCAGTTCATTGCATCGAAATGTGAGGTTATGTTACTTCATATCATGATTATCTTTATGTTGGCAAGAGTGTACGTATTTTCCTGAGTACTTTACTTCAATTCCTTAAGAGGTTATGTTAATATTTTTCGACGATGTTTTGCAGATATTTTAATAAACGTTAAAAAAATATTCAAAATGTTGATGGAAAACCATGCATATGTGAATAATTATATCATAATAGCAGTAACTACATGTTTTACATAATTCATGTATAAATTTTCTGCAGATGAGCAGCATTTCATCCATGCTTCATACGTAAAATATTTACTAATTCAAAACATGTTATAACTACATTACTCGTTTTATTAACTCAAAAGAACAAGGGCTCGGTGCGAAAAAGTCAGCCTATGAGTGTGCCCCTTCCCCTCTCGGGTGTTCAAGACTGGAAAAGGGGCCCATAGAAATGCGACAGGTGCCTGTTCCCCTCGCGGATGCGCAAGGCGGCCGTAGCTAATTAGCGGTTCATACGAAAAAGCCGTTCGATACGGAAAAGGCGGTCGGTACGAAAAGCGACAACCGATGCACTGATTACATTTGTCAATAACGCCGTTTTGTGTTTCGAGCAAGGTAAATATGCTGTTTCAGCCTTTTGTGACCTGAGCAAGGCGTTTGACTGTGTTAATCACAACGTCTTGCTACAGAAACTTAAAAAATATGGTTTAAACAATATGGCGATTAAACTTATACAATCCTACCTCTTCAATAGGACGCAAGCAGTAAAAATTGGCAATTCAATACCCAATTTGGCTCATTTAAGACAAGGAGTTCCCCAAGGTTCCGTCCTAGGACCGCTCCTGTTTCTTATATACATTAACGATATGCCGTATTACTCTAGTAGAGCACTTTCTATACTTTTTGCCGACGACACTACATTGAATGTGTCCAGTCATAGTTTAGACGATGCTATTTCCAAGAGTTCACTTGCAATTAAAGCGTTCGATACAAAAAAGGCAGTGCATGGAAGATGCGAGAGGTGAATGTGACCCTCTCTACGACTAACTTCTACTCTAAGCCGTTCAGGTTCAAAAGTAGTTTTATTAAAGTCTACACAAAAATTAAGCCGTCACTTCTGAAAATTACGTTTTTCAGAATTGCCAACTTAAGAATAATCTGAATAATAAACCGTTACCAATTAGTAGGAAATATGAAGTAATACAACCTCACATTTCGATTAAAGTAAGTATTAAGATTGTGGAAAATGTAGGGCTTCTTCCGCAAATTTTTTTGTTGAAAATGCTTAATTAAGGTACCATCTAATCATTTTTATTAATTTCATGATCGTAGCTCGGGGTCCGTATAATGCTATATACCTACCCTATTGTTTTGATAGCCCCGCGTTATGAGAATATTTTGGACTATTGGACATTACTTTAGTATAAGAAATGATACTCCGTTTAGCAACTGATCTGATCAGAGAAAAAGGTTAGATAATCCACTACTTTTCTCGTATACCTGCAAGAAATCTTTTTGTGGTAACCGCTCTCAAACAAATGTGGTTGCACACTACCACTACTCATATCAAGGTAGATATTTTAATATAACTAGTTAGGTAAACTTTGCAGTCATCTTTGGTCATGGTATAATATTTAGAAGATGCCCTCTAGCGCCTTTATTTTGAACGAGACGCAAAAAGTGTAGAAACCTTTTTTTGTAGATCTCATCAAGACACATCTTTTTGTAATTAACATTTTTCACTTCGACGCTTACTTTTAGAGAAAAATCTAAATTTAGACAAATAAAATAAATAGTTTAACTTTCCAATTCAAAACTTCTCAAAATCAAAGGAACTCACTTTAAATGTTACACTTCTTTAGCATTCGGTGTTATCGAGATCCCCAGATCTTTCCCCTTACGGGAATATCAACTGAAAATGTTTGCATTATTTTCAAAATCTCCGCTTGTTCCTTAATGAAAAAACGCTCCGTGTTAGTGATGTATTGGTATGTTTAGGTGGTTTGGCCTTTCATTGAAGTTGTACTAAGGCCTAAACTTCGAGTCCGTGGTATTCCAACATTGTAACATCATGTGAATGGTAATTTGAGAATCTATAGGGTGTTGTTTTGTCAGGGGTCATTTTCCATTTTCTACACTACACCTTTGTCGGTGGCCACCGGTAGATTGTGAAAGAAGAATTTTTTTCTGATTTCTTTTTTAACTTTTTGGAAGCCTGTAATTTTTTGGTATCTGCGACCTTTACGAGGAAAAAATATAAATCAATGTTCTGTAGTATAGAAACTTTACACTGTCTGTAGTTAGCTAAATGGAAGTATAATCAAAGAATACTTAATCTTTGGTATAATTTTTAAAATGGTCCAGTAGGCCCTGGCTTTATTTGGATAATATCGTATGATCGTATTTGTTTATAAATTAATTATTATCTAAAGGTTTAAGTTGAAAAGTGTACGGTAGAACTATAACTCCTTGTAGATTGGTAAAGAAGCGTTTGCGGACCGGACCTATTGCTGGATATATGATCGTTTAGTAAGAAAATAAGGTAAAGAATTAGTCCCTTCCGTATTTACATCATATATATAGGAACAATCTGTAGGTTCCGGTTCCCTTGTTTTTATGACATTTTTTTTAGACTAGGTATTTAAAATGACGGACTGATGCTAGTGTACCATCATCGCGCCATCGTGTTGCGCGAATCATGTTCGAGAGAATATATTTGATGTATCCACCACGCTACAAGATGTGTTTATCGTCCTGACAAGTATAAAATTATGCAGAATTTGATTGAGAAATGGTGACCCTTAGTAAAAATTGCTGGAACTCTATTAAACTGATCTGTGACCTACGCAAGATTCACTTACAAGTTTCGAATCGTATTATAACCAAATGTACTGATCGTAAGATAATTGACTTTCATAAATTAATTTTTTTGTTAATTTTGTCGCCTCTTGTTTAAACATATAGGGTGTATCTTTTCGAGCGATAAAACTCTTCACTACGTAACTTCGCATTATTTTCTGAGTAAATATAAAGATAGGTGGATACGATAGGATCTTGTGTATTCATAAGTGTAACACTTTGGAAATTAATGCAAATACTTCTACATCCCAGACTACGATATAACAGCAGATTTTTACTTTGTGGTGTACTGAATCATATAGTTATTAGCAGTTTGTTATGTGAACTAGGATGGCTTATACTTCCTGAAGGAGTGTTATCGCTTGAACCTGTATAAATATAAATAAATTTGTTTAACGTTTGTCCCAAAGTTACAAATATTTGTGCTGGCATCAACTTTTTTCTCTATTATCAATCGCTAAACTATATGAAACTTAGTGGCATTATAACGGAAACATACTGAAAGTTTGATCATAGAGTATTGCCAGATTAGCTATGTTCTGTTCCAGTACCACTTGTCTAATTAAGTTGGTAATTAAGTCGGCAGGAGGCACTACTTGTACTAAATAGTTTTGTTGTTCCTCACTAAGATTTCCCCATTTCGCAAAGTCACTGTCGGTACTATATGTTCCACTGATTGTCGGAATTCCTAACGATGCCGCGAAGGCCTTGGTCGTTTCTGAAGAGATCCCGGCAATTGTAGTGTCCAACAGCAGCTGCGGCGGCGTCTTGCTATTTAACATCGCTCCGTATGTATTGCAAACTAAAAAGTGAAATACAAAAATATGAGACAAAACTGGTCGGTTTGAAAGTTCTTTGTTATTAAGAAGTGTACGTTTTTGCAAAAATAGAAACATACGTGACTCCAGTGTCTTTGTTTGATCTTTTGGATATCCGATCGCATGGTGCACTGCAATCGTCATATTTAAATCGTCTTTTCTATTAACGTACAAACTCGCAGTTTTCACGGATCCTTCGGCCAAATCAAATTTCTCTTCGTTGATGTGCACTGCAACAAGAACCTAAATTTATCTAACATTTTTACTATAATATTAGATATTAAATATAAAAACAATTATTTCAATGAGAATATTTGCATATTATTAAGAGGAACTGCGGTAGATGACCCTTTAAATATAGTCGTCAAATAAAAATGCACAGATCTTTTTATTGGATCGCCTTTTTTCGCACGCTCAGACTCAACTTACGACGATGCACACATTTCTGAGAGTTGGCAACCATGCAATTTCTAGGTGGGAAAAAACTGCCTACGCCATCTAGATAGCACGAACGGGGGTTACGTTGTCTTGAATGGCGGTCGTGAACCCGTCACTCCATAAATGTTTGTTGTTATTTTGTGTTTTTTGTAATGCAGGTAGGAATCTTTGCATTTCTTTATATCGTAGGTATTTGTATTTTGTGTGCCACATTTTATATTTTGTGTGTGTTTGAATCTTTGTTTTTGAAATTTGCTTGGTTTAACCGTAATGCAGAATCACATATGTGATACCGTTATGCTATTGTTTGTAATTGTTTACGTTTTTAGTGTAATGCTTGCTTAATTTATGTTTATTGATGTTGATTACTTGGTCTTGTCCCTGAAGTAACATTCATGTAAGTTTTGATCATTTTATTTTAATATGTGGATGGATGTACTGACTTGTTGTTTGTTACTACCAATTTTCTCTGTGAATGAAGCAGTCACGGGGGTCGTAAAAACTGTAACCATTTGAAGTACGACACCTAATTCTGTGATTGTCTTCGACATTCAACTGTAGGCCGAAACCAGGGGCGGGCTACCTATCTTGCCGGAGCGGGATTACGCTAAACAAAGCTCTTCAGTTTAGAATCTTTGATGTGCGATAAATGAGTAGCGATTCAATAATTTCTACATATCTTGTTTTTAGTTAAATTTGTCTACAAGGCCATGTAATTTTCATCTTGCTTTTAACAAAAGGACTTTATTGCACCAAAAATGAGTCACATCCTGTGTATTTATGTAACGAACGGCTGTGTGCACGTAATGTAAATTCGAGCAGATAAACGTCATACAACCGTTTTATCTGCTCGAATCCTGTGTATTTCACCCTTTCTTAGAATCTTGGTACCTGCTTACCTGACCCATAATTCCCAAAACTTGTTTTTAACCTATATGTGATACTTATACATATGTGTGATACTTATACATATACTTGAAATTTACCTGCTACTTTTTGTGATGTTATAATTTTATGTTACGCATTCGCATCATTACAAACAATTAATTTTACTACACAATTTAATATTAATTTGACGGCTGGTTTTTTTTATTGGTAAGTTCTTTTCTTCCCAGCCTATATCTAATTTTATTCGGCGAACTACCATTTTCAAAGTTTATTTTTGAAATGTAATTTATTTCGACTTAAATTTCCGAGTTCTCACAATCTTAATAATTGCGATTATTATTAAACAAACTTTTCACAATTTGAGTGTTTTATTTTACGTTCCTTCCCTACTGTGCTTCAGGTCAAAGCGTTGTCTACAACTAAGGTAAGGGGGTCCTGCCCTAGATGTTTTCTCACGTGCCACTTTTCAAATGTAAGCGGGATTTTGTTTAGTTTTGGAGGGAATAGTCATTCGGGTACCATTTCTAAACGTTGCCGGGTTGACTTTATTTCCGTGTTCTTGTAGTGAGAAGTTAGCGTAGAACCTGGGGGTTAAATAGGTACACTACACTGTTCTAAAAGATGATCGATTTTCGGAGCCATAAATGAACATTATTTCCACACGTTCAGCTGTACTGTAAGTCAAGCTTACAGTATCCAGGTTTAAATCAGCACTACGTCACATTCTTTTGAACGAGTAAAGTGTCCCATTCTCAAGTTACTTATTAATTAACTTTTTTTTTTCTTTTCACAGTATTGTCTTTTTGTGTGTGTGTGTGTTCTCTCTTTGTCACCCGTCCATCGAAATTGTAAACATTTAAACTGAAGTTATGTTATGGGTTAAGTGGAAGAACACCTGGTGGCGATGTTGCCCCTAGGTGAACTTCGCCCTTTAGATCGTCATCTAATAAAGACCTTATTATTATTATTATTATTATTATTATTATTATTATTATTATTATTATTATTATTATTATTATTATTTTTATTTTTATTTTTTTCTTCATCGACATCGAGGTCATTAGCCACTAACGACTTTAAGTAATTATTATCACACTTTCAAATTATTATTATTATTATTTTTTTTTTTTTCTTCATTTGGGCATCGACTACTGAGGTCATTAGCCACTAACGACTTTAAGTAATTATTATCACACTTTCAAAAGTAGATTTACGTCTTTCATAAAACTAAGTATTTTCCTCATATTATCGATTTCGTTGTTAAGACATTGTTCTATATTATTTGCTAATTTGTATTTCCGTCTTACGTCAGAGAATTGTATGCATTCGATGATAATATGGGGTACTGTTAATGGAACTCTACATAAATCACACATGGGTTGCGGTGCTCTTAAAAGTTTGTAGCTACTTGTTAGATTAGTATGACCTGTGCGTAATCTGGTCAAGACCACTTGCTCTCTCCTTGTCAGGAAGACAGGGAAGATCCACCGTTTTACTTCCAACTTTATCTGTTGAAGTTGCGCTGTATTGTTCAATGCCCACCTATTTTCCCAAAGTTTAACTATTTTTTCCTTAGTTGCACCTCTTAAGTCCTCCACTCTAATTAGTCGTACACCTTTCATCTGTTCTGTACTTGCATTTCTGGCTGCTTCATCGGCTTTGTCATTTCCTGCAATGCATACATGTCCGGGACTCCATGCTAAACAGATTTCCTTTTCGTCTTCTGTGGCTTTATGCAAGGCTGCGAGCACCATTTGCACTAGCGAGTCTTTGAGAAAGTGCTCTTCCATCGCACAGAACGATGAGAGCGAGTCGGAGCATATCAAATATCGCTTATGGTGAGACATTATACAATAGTGTATCGCATGTAATATGGAATAAAGCTCTGCCGTGAAAATTGAGGCTTCCTGTTGGAGGGACCAGCTGTACGTTGACATACCAGTACAGAATGCACTGCCCACCCCAGCATTCGATTTGGATCCATCGGTATAAATGACTGAATGGGTGTTCATTCACTATATTTCTAAAGGTGTTTTTTTGAATATATGCATTGGTCTCCTTCTTAGCGTGTATTGTACAGTTCAAGTGTATTTTGGGTAAATGCAGTTTCCATGGAGGTACTTCTCCGACAGTTAGAGGAAATACCTCCGTATTAACTGGCATATCAAGATCTTGCAGTAATTCTCTATATCTAATACCGGTAGGGCGTGATATTGTTTGGCGATTCTGGTACCAGTTGTTATACGACTCCTCATTAAACATTACCTGGTAGTTAGGGTGATGACTTTGACCTTTCATTTTTGACGCGTAGCTGCACATCATTATCTTAAATTTTATTTCGAGAGGCATCACTCCTGTTATACAACATAGGGCATCAAGGGACGTGGTTCTATAAGCTCCTGTACATAATCTTAACCCCTGGAGTTGTATGCTGTCAAGTTTCCTCAGCCAAGATTTCCTTGCTCCCGAATATACAATACATCCGTACTCTATTTTGGAAAGTATAAGAGCTTTATAGACCTGTAGCATCACATCGGTATCGGCGCCCCAGTTTATGTGTGCAATACAACGAAGGACATTCATAGAACGTTTACATGATTCAACTAAACCCGTTATGTGATACTTCCAATACAACTTAGTTTCAAATTCTAGTCCTAGAAATCTACGGTGTTGTTTGATTTCAATAGTTGAACCGTGAATTTTCAGTCTAGGGTGGTCATGTCTTGTTCTTAGTCTACAAAAGTGCATTGCTTCTGTCTTCACAGGAGAGAATTTAAATCCCAGTTGTCCTGCCCCTCTCACTAGTTTATCTATATTATGTTGCAATCGAGCTACCGTATCATCTCCTATATTCCCAGATGCAAATAGAACCAAGTCATCCACATATAGAGATTTTCCAATATCAGCGTCTACTAGTTTTGGTAAACTATTAATCGCAAGGCCAAAGAGTGTTACACTTAATGTAGAACCTTGTGGCACGCCATTTTCTTGCACGTGTTTTGATGACTTTAAGTTTCCTATTCTAACTTGAAAGGTTCGATGCGCTAAGAAACTTTGGACAAATTTGGGCAGTTGACCTCTAAATCCCAGATCATATAGTTGCTGTAATACATTATGTCTCCACGTGGTCTCAAACGCCTTCTCTAAATCGAAGAAGACGGCTATTGTGTGTTCCCTTGCAGCAAAACTGTTTAATATAGCTGATTCGAGTTGAACGAGGTTATCATTTGTCGACCTAAACAGTCTAAATCCCATTTGATGTTCTGATAGTAACTTATTCTTTTCGAGATACCATGTTATCCGAAAGTTTACCATTCGTTCTAGAATTTTACTTAAACAGGATGTAAGGGAGATAGGACGATAACTTGAAGGTAAATTCGGATCCTTTCCAGATTTGTGAATAGGAATGATAATTGAGTTTCTCCAT